ATAATATTATATGCACAAAAATTAAATTAATAAGAAAGCAAACATAACACCATTGTATTTTGGGAACCACCAACTAGGCGTGCAGGGTAGCAGTGGCAAAAATCAACATCCATAGCGAAGTTTCCCCTGGAAAGAAAAACATTTAAAAAAAGGATTAACCAAGATGTGTTTGTGAAACACCGATGCCCCCGTATGGCAGCTCAAAGCCGAGATAAAAGTTTTTTCAGATGTAGATCAAACTCCAAGGTCAAGAGTTCAAAAATGTTGATATCCAAAGAAAGGTCTTGTTACTATGTATACACGTGTGAAATATAATAACCCTAGTACATGTACCAACCATTTAGAAAATATGGCCAAGGTTATAGTTTTTCAAAAAGGAGGTCATACTCTAAGGTCAATATGTCATGAGGTCACAAAAATGGTACTGAAGGAAAGGAATTGTCACAAGGAATGCATAAGTGAAATATGAAAACCATAGCAGCAACTATTCAGAAGTTATAGGCAAGGTTAAAGTTTTTCAAAAGTAGGTCAATCTCCAAAAAAAAAAGTCATGAGGTCAAAACTGTTGGTAGCCAAAGAAAGGTTCGTCGCAAGGTATACACGTGTGATATACGAAAGTCCTAGTAGCCACCGTTCAAAAGTTATGCATGAGCAAGGTTAAAGTTTTTCAAAAGTAAGTCAAACTCGGAGGTCAAGGTCAAAATGTCGGTACCCAGAGAAAGGTCTGGACATATAAAATACACTTGAGAAATATAAAAGCCAAGGTTAAAGTTTGGTAAATTTTGCAAAAGTAGGTCAAACTGCAAGGTCATGAAGTCAAATACTTAGTATGTTGGTACTCAAAGAATGGTCTTGTCACAAGGTATACACAGGTGAAATATGAAAATCCTAGCTCCAAGCATTCAAGAGTTCTGGGAAATGTTGAAGTTTTTGCGGACAAACAGACTGAAACAAAAATTATATGCCCTCGAATTTTCGATTGTATGGGAATAAAATATTGAATGTTCTTGATTCCAGTGAGAAATCTGTCTGAGATGAAAATTGTGATCTCGAGAGCGAAATGCTAATACTTACATTTGATTTGCTGGCTATTATTTTCAACAAGATGTACATCTTTACTGTCGAACACCAAAAGTTTCTTGCTTAGGGCATGAGTTTGGAATGATACATTTTCAATGTTTCGTTTTCTTCGCCCAGCTTTACTGTTTGCAGGAATTGTCATACACAAATTCTAAATAGGCAGTATTATATAGTTAAATATAAATTCACACTGCTCAGCTTACAAATAACAGAAAAAAGATGAAAACGTTTAGTAAAGCATTAGCGCTTTGATTTCAAACCTTTAGAAGCTTTACAATGATTACAAGCGCTAAAGCTTTACTAAATGTAAAAAGTCCAAGGCCTTTAACGGTCACCTGAGCATAATACAATACCTGTAAAGGATTTACAGATGTATAAAATGAAACAAATGAAACAAAATAAGCTGGTATATGAAGCTTTGTTGCCCAAAGGCAAGAGAAATTGGATGATCAGGGATCACCATAGATCATCATAATAATTAGTCTAGTATACTCAGTTACAAATCTTAAAGTAGTTATATTTACTTGCCAACATTTTTGTCACTATCAACATGCTGACTTTGTAAGAAGCCCATCTTATTTCCTTTCAAATCGGCTGTTCTCGGTCTTTGAAGAACATTTAATGTACAAAGATAGGGTATTTTTGTCTCATTTTATTTATCTAGTATTTATAAGTCTATCTGACCACTAAAAAGATCGAAAGTACTTTTTGTATTATATATTATCAACTTTCTTGTATAATTCTCATCCAATTAACCTTTCAAATATATTATTTACAGTTATTAATTATCATAAGCGAATAGATCATAGGAGAATAACTTCTCTCAGAAGAAAACAAAATAGAGACCTGTCTAGCACCAGAACATATGAACCAAGTGGTCCAGAATTTCAAAAATCTGGTAAAAATAACCTTGCTTATGATAGCTTAGTACTTTGTTTCCCCCTAGATGTCCAAGAACAAAGGGGATTTTCAAAGATTTAATGCATTTTCACTTTAGATTCAACTGAGCCTCACCCTGACACTATTCAATAGTGCCTCCCCAACATCAGAACCCCTGACCCTTGGGTCACAAATTTCACATATTTTGGAAGAAGCAGCCTTGTCACAACTAAAAACTTAGTTTATCTGCCAAAAACCAACGAGTAGAGAGGATCTTCAAAGAAATAATGCATTTTCACTATAAGAGTGGTTATCAAAAAGTTCGTGGACTAGCGCCATAGAATTAAAATCGCTTTAGGTACATCAATGATTTTTTTTTACATAGTTATCATCATTTTATCTATCTATAGAATAGAATATAAGTCACAAGTTTATTTTTTTTAAAAACTATTAACGTTTTTTGTGCGCAATGGTATGACCAGGCGGCGCAACCTAAAAAACCCGATGTATTTTCTACCCGAGTCTGAAGGAGAAAAACTCTTTTCATATGAGCATTTGTCATCCAATAATGACGTTAATTCACTCGTGTGGTTCGACACAATTTGCAATTTTTACCTCATTCTATAAATTTTAAGAAATCGTATCCTGAATTTTATATGGAATGCCCAAGCAATTAAAGGGTTAAAAGTGACTCCAGAAGGGGGAGGCATGCCTTTTCCCAAATCACATAAGGTTTCACCCCTGGAAAAACTTACATTGACCTAGGAAATGTTTACACAAGCTACAGAGAAATAAAATGCATTCAGATTATCTTCTTTTAAATGCCGAAAAAAAATCATAGAGATGAATGACGCAGACTTAATGTCGATTTGTAATCCGGGTCTCCAAATGTCAATCCAGCCTAGGTCACGCAAGTCGTTTGACCCCACTCAAACGCCTTGGAGCATACTGTAGATAAAATTTACACCACGGGGTGACGCTGTTAAAGAATGTTAACTCTAAATTTTAATGTGTGACACTATCGATGCGGCAAACGTGTAAGTGAGGCTGATGTCAGTCACGTCGAAAAGTTACGTTGCTCATGGTAGACATTGAACTCCGTTAAGCAAATTATGCTGGCATAATCAAGTGAGGATCTTTTCCTTTTGTAGAAATCCATTTATAATATTATGCATTGAAATCAGCTGGTTATGACATTGTAAAGTCATATAAACAAGATGAGTTCCAGTCTTTACTTAACTCTGGAGAATCTCATCAAGAAAAGTGTATTGAGACGGAGGGAGCAGACATTGAGAAACAATGACGTTTTCGGACGTCATAGAACTCAACGGCGACAGCGCCGTGTTATCATATAATGTCTTTTGTATTTATGGATAATTTGGCACACTATCTAGTACGTAACAAGCTAAAATTTTCAATTTCTTAAACTTTTGTTGTTTTATCTTCCTTACAAATTGACTACATAGTATTAATTTTACCGCATTAATTCCAGAACCCCTGACCCTCGGATCATGAATTTTGAAAGAGGGCTCAATGCTTTATCACATGTACGTTGAAGCTACAAATTAGACGTCAGGAACGTCCACTGAACAAATATGTTGAACTTCCTAAATATTGCATAAAATATTAATTGAGTAAATTCAACCATCTGACATTCATTCTGACCGTTTGGATTAGCACATTATGAACATATAATTAATTTTGTAATCGATGAAAAAAAAGGAATTTAACCCCTCGAAAAAAACCCGGCTTGATCCTATTTTTGCTCGCCATTTTAGACATTTTTGTTGAAATTGTAATCCATTTATTTGCTACAATGCAGTTTAGTAACAACCTTAATGAAATACTTCAAATCTATAAGAAAAGCACACTATTTTGATGAAATATGGAGATAACGAACGGCAATCAAGCTCAAAAGTTGACATAATTTGTTTTCTATTTAAACGTTCTTGTAATTGAGTAAATTTAGTGTTTATATTCATATGCACGTTTTACATTAATTGCGTTACAGATTACTTTTCCGTAAAAATTTTTAACTATCGCTTTGTTTTTCTTAACACCATTGAATGCAACATCGCAAACGACGTCACAAACGAAATAGACTGCTCCTGCTGTGTGAGAAAAATGAGAAGATCATTTTTGAACACTGTATCCCAAGCGTTACACGCTTAAAATATTTAATTTGGGCTGTAAAATTCTCTATTCTGCATAAAATCAAATTAAATGTTATTTTCTGACTGGAATCGGGTAAAGCTTTTCAAAACTTGTTGATTCATACCAAAATCATCCATCTTAGTATTATTTTGAAATTACTGATAGTGCGAGTCAGCAACCTTTTTTCTCAAACTCTCCTTCTTCATTTTGTTTAATTTTCAAGAGACACGAAGCTTTACAAATGTCTCTTGAAAATTAAAGAAAAAAATAGGAACGAGAGTTTTGGTTATTACATGTAACTAGCAATGGTTATGGGACCTGTCTATTCAAACATGGACTTTTGTGTTTTGGTGAAATAAACATGACGCTGAAGAAGTACGTCCCTGGTAATATACCTCGATGATTTGTCAAAATTGTATATACAAGGGGAAAGTTCAAAGAATAAAAATTTAATCGTAGATGTTTACAATCATACACTGTTCCAAATTTTATGACACCATGCAGCTAGACATGAACTTGGAGAATAGACCCTAAAAACACCATTATAAGCAGCCAATCAGAATCGTATAAAGTGTCTCATAGCATGTAATAAACATGAAAAAAGAACAACTGCCAAGGAGTAATTGTTCATTGTTTGTTTATGTAACGTCCCTTCGAAAATTTTTCAGTCATATTGAACCGCTATCACTTGCCGTTGGAGGGCTGCAAATTTAACCCTGTACTTGGCACTTAAGGCCTCTGAGCAGAGAGGGATCTCTTTCGTGCCAGCACCTACTGCGGCTCGGGACCTCGGTTAATACGGTGTCATCCGAAGTATCGGTCTCCACGTCTCGCGGGAATGATGAACCACAGTTGATAATGAGAGAAAAAAAAATTATGAATTTCACTCACTGAAATGTTTTCTTACTTACTGTTTTGTCAGTGACGTTGAGACTATTAAATATCTTCACTTCACATGTAATTGTCACATAGTTCCCCTCTGCAAACCGGAACCCATACATCTTGGCATAAATAAGGGTTTCATTGTACCTGCCGAATATTTCCAACAGCTCTTTTTGTTCAGCACATTTATCCTTTCCATTT